GGTTTGACCACCTGCTACGTATGACATCATATCTCGGAACCATAGAAACTGACCATCACTAAACTTGACTCAAAATTGCGCGCGAGGGATGAACGAACAGCTACTGAAAACATCAGGTGCTGATGTTTTATCCTCTAGAAAAAAAGAACTCAGAAAAACCTTGTACGCCCGAGGGTTAAGAATTAAAACTACTCCAGGTACCGGAACTAGCACCGAAGCTGCTTCGAGTCAACTCGAAGCGATGACAGCGCAAAATTCACACGCACCCTCACCCCTTGAGGTGAAATTTGTAAAGGAGCCGTCCAATGGCTCGGATAAATCATCCTTCATAAAAGATTGCCGATTTTGTGATCAAACGCATGAGAAAGAGAGATCAAAGTGTCCAACTGTCGGGAAAATTTGTTCTGCTTGTCAAAAGAGAATCATTTTGCTTTGAAATGTTACGCTCGCGAGGAGCTCCGTTATTAAATCAAAAATAAAGTGTAGATTCTAGAAAAAAATTAACGCTATTAAAATTATTACGTCTATTGTTACGCGTTTAATATTATAACGAAATTAATTGTATTAAGTCAGCAGCCTAACAGTTTGACGCGTCACCTATCACGTGCATGACTGACTTCATCAGTTTAAAAATTTCCTTTTATAGCTATTTTTATATCATAAGCATGGTGAATACTGATGATTTTTCAGTCAGTGACACAGGCGGTGCGGAAAAAAAGAGATCCTACTTTCAACATGAGTCAAACCTATGACCTTCTGGTCGACTATTCCAAGGTCCAGTTGGAAGGACGATTCGCGCTAACACGGGGTTATGTTTTAAATCAAACCGCGTTTCTTTCTCTTTTTCTCGGATAATTTCTCAGTCTCTTCTTTTTAGAGCATCCAATCATCAAGTTGTATACAAAAAGAAATAAACTTAATTGCTTTTAAAGCTTTCACTGATCCGAATTCAAATTTCGCACTAACTCTGGGTTATCTTAGCCCATGTAGCTTTGAAAAACCCGGTCCAGATGTTCTAACACTGATCAACAGGAGACTCGTGGGATAATTTGGAGTTCAAAACCTAGAAAAGCGTGCATTTTGTTCGACCGACTTTGTCCCTAAATTTTTGTTGTTCTTCTTGATCGGATTGAATTCCCTGCCTGTTCGTACCACCAACTAAAACTGTTGGCAAACGAGAGATTGAGAATCACGTTTACGGTAAATGTTAAGGATTAATAAGTACTAAGTGACCAAGTGTACCTTTCAGTTATCGTGCGGTTCGTTATTATATCTGCATAAAAATATTAAGTAGTTTCATGTAATATATCAAACATGAGATGCAGTGTTTCATCACCAGATGAAACACCGAGAAGAGAGTTGAAAACACGACGCGCAGCGGAGTATTTTTGACGAACTTCGAGGTGTTTCATCTGGTGATGAAACACTGTGTCGAATGTTTGATATTTCTTCTCAAACAAAATCATTTTTGAAGGAGAAATTAAGGATGCAAATACTAAGCAGTGTTTCATCCGATTTCCAAACACTCATTAAACATTGATTTCCTTTGTATTTTCTTAATGAATTATTAATGAGTTTGAGAAGTCATGTTCACTCATAAGAAAACTTTTGCACAGTTTCATCTGTCAGTTTATTTACTACTTCCAAAAATTTCAACTTGAAACTGACGTTTGGGCCTTCGCATGAAAACCTAAGGTTTAAAAATGATATTCGGCAAGCAAAAGAACTCCCACGTTCTCAAGCCATTGATATTCAATTTATGTTCAAGTCAAAATCTTTTATATGTTTCTTCCATTCTGTCATTATTAAGTAGTTTTACTTAATTTAAAAACACATCAAATACGCGCCGACTAAATAAAGACAATAAACCTCAAATTCGACGATCAACTGACCGGACCGGGAGCTTACAAAATAATGCATTAGCGCTCACAGTTCGAACTGACTACAAATGCATTAGGCGCATTAAAATCACAGGACACTTGCTCGCATTGCACCATCTTAAATATAATGTTGCCCATTGAATGCATAACGGGTATTTTGCGCAAGAAGGTATGAACCATCACGTACAAAATTTCAGTCTTCGAGGGGGGCGGGGGGACGTGGCGGCGTTAAATTATTCACAAATTAAATGTAGCAAATTTCCAGAGCTTTTCGCGCAAGTTTATGAAAGACAGAAGTGAGCAATAAAATTTCAATTTCCGCCAATTGAAATTTCTTAATTGATGATTAAGATATATCCGTTGGGTAAATAGTTTTCAAGCTTCTTTGTAAACGTCACGCCTTTCACAATGCCTTAAACATATTTTAGTCATGGAACAAAAGAATACGTAATTATGGCAATAAAAAAAGTAGGAAAGTTGACAGTCTGAAATGTCATCCGTAGGTACTTGAGATTGGTTATCAATCTTCTGAACTCACGAGTTTACTTAGGATAAAAAAAACATACAATATTTAATTGTGTATAAATTGGATTCACTGATTAGTCACTACAATTCTTTTTTCGTCGGGGAAAGCCTTCCGGCAAAGAAGAAAGTTTGCCATTAAGCATCTATTCAGTGCTCACCTGGTTAACGACCAAGTGGTTTGAACATAAATAAAGAGTATTTAAATTAGAATTTTAAAAGTGCTTTCTCCTTGGCTAGCTTCAAGACAAAGTTAAAAAAGTAAGTTACTCTTTTGCTTTCCTTCTTTTATTAATATTTTTTCCCAAGCGTCCTGCTTAAGTTTTTTCGTTTTCCACATGCGGGTCCTTACTGGCAGAATCCTGAGGTGTTAAGTGATATAATTCGTACTTTCAGCTCCCCGATCACCTTTGAATTAAGAAAAATCAGCGTCTCTCTAAGAGGTGCTAGAAGCGCTTTTTTCCCACTCGCCTTAAAATGTCCAGCTAAGCTTCTGCCATAGTGCAAGAAACTACAATAAAAATGGCAATGAGACATTAAGATTAACTGCACCATGCGTCTTTGCTTAGTTAGTAAAGATAATAAAATCCATACACATCCTCCTTTGCTTATTAATAAGTTATTTGAATAATTTTTGAGCAATTGATAGGTTGATAAGCCTTGAATAGAAGGTGAAATCGTGGCAACGATTTGTCGAGATTCACGTTGACTCGTCTACATGTTTTTCTTCTTTAACTGAACACTTTTTGTGTGAATAAGACAGATGCCGTGTACTTTGTTCTTCTTTAAGGCGAAACATCTGGAACTTTTCTTTAAGATATATGGATGGTTAAGTTTTCCCTCATCAATTCCAGAGAACGTTGATAGAGAAATTCAGATTTTATCAATACCAACTAGTAAAATATCTACTATGTTGTACCAAAACCGAGACACTACTTTTTTAAAAGGGCATTCCTTATTTGTGTGTTCAGAAGTTAGAAATCCGACTTCATGCAAGACCTTTCAGACTCTTCAATTGCATAATCTGTAACTTTTGCGGCGAATCCGGCGCCGTTACAGAAACAGTAACTTTCATATTTCATCTTGCCAAAATGTATTTATAGTGAGCTATTTTCAAAATACATGAAGTGTAAACTGTTCAGCAAGACACCTTTCTGGCAAAAGTAGTAAAGTTTGAACTAAGGATTAAGATAAACTCATCCACCTGTCAGAGAAAATTATTGACAATATATGTATATTAAAGGTTTTTTCAAAACGTTCGCAGAAAATACGCATTGAATATGATTCCGACGCAATGTTTCCCTGAAAAACAGTGTGCCATGACTGTGTTGGCAGCAAGACCATGACATTCGAAGCGGGAATACATTAGGTTGGAAACAAGTTTGACCCGCAAAACGTGAGGCCATGGGGAAAATTTTATAAGTTTATACATAATTATATAATGCAGGTGTCGATCACCGGTGAAGCCAGAAAGGTGCATGCTGCACCATAAAGTAACGACAATATCTATCGATGGACTACTCAGTAAAGGAGCATATGGATTTTAATACAGTTTCGGTTATTGATTTTTCATTTTCTTTTTTGCTTGTTTTCTACTAACTTTTTCAACTTAAATGGGTTGCATATGATAAAGGGCCAGAGAGGTAGAGTCTGTACTTGGAAAATCTTCTTTGTAAGATCACAAAAACATCTTAAGAATCGTGGATTTTGATTGGTCCCGCAAAATATGGAACCTATCCAAGTTGTCAAAACTTGTGAGAAGAGTGTCAAGAAAATATCAATTTGTCTAGTGGCGAAAGATCTTTTCTATTAAAGTTGTAGTTTTCACGAGAAAACTTAAGTTTAAGGGCCCGACTTCATTGAGATTGTGTATATCATTAGTCTCCGTAAACCCCGTCTGAGTTGAAAATTATCTGTTACTGCGGTCAAGCGGTTAATCATGTTACTTGTTATTTTTTTGGGACAAATGAGCGCAAAAAATAGCCAGAGAGAAATAAATTTCTCATGTTTCAGTTCAGAGTTCAGCAAAGCCTAAGAGCGGAGCTCCCGTATGAGACTGGCAGTTTACTAGCTCTTCTTTTAAAAGGAAAGGCGTGTTTTAAGAGGAGTGAAATTAAATATTAGACTTAGTTTATTGGAACATATGATTTGCTCGATAACCGATTTTACAAGTACGGTGAAGAGAGATTTGCCCTGGCATGGATTGTCGAGAGGAAACTAAAATTCCTCTTTAATGCCAGTAAGTGATATTTAAGACTTGCCTTCAAGTTCTTTCAAACACTTTCTTTCGAAAAACCCCTAGGACAGTGCTAAACGATTTAGGAGTACATTTCTTTAAAGCATTTAATCTGCAACTCGCTCCTTGGCAGCCGATGAAGGAAGATCCCTTGCTGTCATTTGGCCTAAAAACCGAGAAGCGGGTTAGAGGACTGTCTTTCAGAAACTTATGGTCTTATTGTGGTGTAATTGTTGTTGACAGTGTTGACGATTTATCTCACTGGGCCTCAGATTGCGGTCGCGATCCTGCAGTCCTTACTTGTCCTTGTAAATGTTGGCGGGAACTTTCTCGTTTGTTACATTATCTTGAAGAACAAGGACATGAGGTATGTCATGGACTATGCTCTTTCCACGGGCGAATAATATTAAACTAACAATATAGACAGCTGGCTGTCCCAGGCACGAATTAATCATTACCTGTGAATCAACCATATTTTCGGTTTATAATTATAATTATCATTATCATTATTATTATTATCTAATATTATATTATAATGATATCAATGCATGTACAGCTTCATAGAATTTTCTCCTAAACAAGGAATGACAAACCAGTTTCTTTGTGCTGATCTTCAAACAGGACGCCTGTTAATTTCCTCCTAGTCAACCTTGCCGTGGCAGACATGGTTGTGGCCATATTTTTAACACCGCAGCTCCTGTCTTTCCACATCAGTTTCACTCATCCAGATGGGTTGATTGGTACAGTGTTGTGCAAACTTCTGACCACCGCAAACTTCACCTACGTTGGGGCTGGAGCATCAGTTTTTACTTTGATTTGCATATCGGTGGAACGTTACTTTAATGTGTTGTATCCTCATGGAGCCAAAGGCAGGCTAACTAAGCGCAAACTCAAGGTATAGTACATAATTTGTAAAAACTGAAATGCCCTAGTATCTCATTGAAATTATAATTGGGTTTTAAATGCCCTGTCCAATAAATGTCCCACCTGTAAAAATTGCCCACTCCCCCTTGAAATGTTTGGAAAGCAGCTGTAAACAAGATGAGTTTCCAGTTAGCATCACAGATTTAAACAGTGATGAGGTTGATGAAGGCAACTTAGTTCTGATTGAAGATGATTTGAACATTGACATTAAAAGCTTATACAATTACCCTTTTTAATCTTTTAATTTCCGTACACGTTCCACAGTTACTTTATAGTATGTTTATAAAAGTTAAATATAGGCCTCTCTGATATTAAGCGCTTAACGCTGACTGAGGAATTGATACTTCTGCATGTCTAAAGAGTGAAAATAGGCACCAAATCAAAGTGAGATGTCACAACACTGGCAGTAATAATGTCCACGTTTGCACGCAGATACAAGACTTGTTATAGTGTGTTTGCAAAAAAATCAGCGATTTTTCGTGTTTATTGTAAAATTTGCGATTTCTTGCATGGTTGGCGATTTTTCGAGTTTACTTTAAAATCTGTGATTATGAGCAAATGTTCTTTATTTTTACATGTACAAAGCCAGTTGAGAATTTTACAAACGTTGCGAAACTTCTTTGTCATGTTATGATCAATTAAGTCGAATGGTCCGAATGCTGGATGCATGTCCGAACAAGATCCGAATTCTCTCGAACAATAAGCTTTTATAGCACAAACGTGTTTACCCGTGTTTGCACTTCCCTCCCCTCCCTAACCTTCATGACGTCCTAGCTAAGCCTTGAACACTGCTAGTTAAAGAATAATTAAGCCATAGTAACCACAATAATAATGTGGTCATCACCTTGTCACTAACTGAGCTCACACTGTGGGTGGCTCCTCCTAAAATGTTCTATAATACAATTGGTCTAGAATTTAATGGAGCCGAAAACAATGGTGGAATTGCACACATTTTAAGCACCCTACTGATGAACAGTGACGACCTATAGATATTTCAAGCAACAACAATTTGCTGTCTGCCGTCTTTAAGGTGACTCGACCCATTTTTTTTTTTTTTTTTGGGGGTACCTGCCTACGTTGAAGCTCTCTGGTATCCCCACCTTTACTTTTATCGTAAGTCTAACACATAGAATGGATAACATATAGATCAATCTACAATATAACATAAAATTTTGGGCGATCGGAGTAAATGTGACGTGGTTATAATGCCACGCCCCTTTGAGGTCTGAGTCGAAAATCTGCTGTTGCCGGCATTTTTTCGTGAAAATCTCTCAGCTACACATAGTGCGCATTAGTGCCTTGCGCTGAAGAGAGTTTCACCAAAATCGTTATAACAGATGGGTCCTTGTAAGTCAGCAAAACGCTTTAGGGCCTTGTAAATGCGCGCGATTTCGAGCAAAGCAAACATATAGAAATTATAGTTTTCGCTATTTGTTGACGTTTGTCAGTGTTTAAGAGTCCTTCTCACGAAAAAAGCATTTTCTTAAAGAATCGTAGTTTTTTTTCCTTCAAATTTTTTCAGGGCCACAATTGATTAACTAACTACCCGGACTCTGAATTTCATGCAAGGACCCATCTGTTATAACGATGCCCAAAATAGAGGGATGAATCTCTTAGTTTATTAGATATAATCCGTGTAAAGTTTGCTTATCATTTTCGCATAAATTATGACCTAAATTTAGAAACCGCTGAATTTCTCGAATTGGGTCTTTGCGATTTTGGTGAAACTCTCTTCAGCGCAAGGCACTAATGCGCACTATGTGTAGCCGAGAGATTTTCACGAAAAAATGCCGGCAACAGCAGATTTTCGACTCAGACCTCAAAGGGGCGTGGCATTATAACCACGTCACATTTACTCCGATCGCCCAAAATTTTATGTTATATTGTAGATTGATCTATATGTTATCCATTGTATGTGTTAGACTTACGATAAAAGTAGAGGTGGGGATACCAGAGAGCTTCAAAGTAGGATGGTACCCCCCCCCAAAAAAAAAAACTGGGTCGAGTCACCTTAAATGTTTTTCTTTTCATGACATGTTTTCCCAGGTGCTTGTACCTTGTTCCTGGATCTTTGGAGTGAGTTTGAAAGTCCCAGCTTTCTTGTCTTACGTCTATGTCAAGGAAGTTGGTGGCTGCGTTTATTTGCTTACAGAAGAATGGATGGGAAAACTTCTCAGTATGTCTTGGTTTATATTTTTGGGATTCCTTCCTGTCGTGGTTATGACTGCCTTGTATTCCCGAGTCGTTTACGCTTTGTGGTTCAAAAGCTCAGACAACGCTGGAAACAATTCACAACAGGTTGGAAAAATCTTGCCCTACGAATACAGCTGTTTCTCTTTGCTCCTCGCCGCTAGGGACGTTTCGCCAGGAGGAACGTGTGTGCCTCAGCGACAGAAATTCCATACTGATGACGTAAAGTCTGTCAGGAATATGGTCAGGAACTCTAATTGGTCGACGTAGTAGTTATATTGTTTTCCTACTGTTTACGAATTGACAGACAAAAGACAAAAGGCCACAAAGGTCAAATGTAAACGTGATGAATCTACTGAAAAAGGGTCAATATTCCTGGAATTTATTCTTCTTTAGGAAAAGCATCCGAGTTTTGCTGGAACTCGTTCGCAGAAGGACACAAGACTTTACTATAATCGACCAGGAGAAATATAAAATTTAACAAATTTACATTTGAAGCCCTGTGACCAAACTAATCATGTAAATATTGATTTAACTCATCAGCAAGGAATTTCTGTTGCTGAGGTGCAGAAGTCCGTCCTGGCGAAAAGTCCCTAGCGGCGAAAAGCAAGAAAAGACGGCTGTATTCGCAGGCTAGAAAAATCTATACACAATACAGTCCAAATATCATTAGTTGAACCTGCTTTCAGTCAGCAGACACCCTCTTTTAAACCATTTCCACTCTGACCTATTCATTTTACATGTCATTATGTCCGTTATTCTCGTCCCAAAGGAATATCTCCTTTGGTTTGAAAACAGATACTTGACCCGGACTGGCCTCGAGTGATGTAAAATTTTCCTCTTAAATGCTCCTACAAAATAATCTTGCTTGGTAAACAAAGTTTTTGGGCCCGACCCGCCAAGCGCTTTTACATCTTGCTCTTTCACACAGCCACCAAGGTCGACAAGGTCTTGCTTCCTTTGCCTTGTTTTCATGCCTGAAAGTGCAGTAGCCCTGCGTTTTTTGTTAAGTCGTCTTCAGAAAACATGAAACCTTTGTAAAGGAAACATTGACTTAAGAAGTGCTATTAGTCCTTAAAATATGGCCAAATGACAATGAAATATGGTTGCCTCATGAGAGATAAGATGATTTTAAGAGTCATGGTTTTGAAAAACCGAATTTCCGTTTTCATCCGTCCAAACGCCTTTCCCACTCCGGAGGACCCAATTGAATTAAACCTCAATGTTTCCCTCAGCTGGAAAATGAAATGAAATGTTTTCCTCTCAAGCGTTTTAGGCACGTATAAAAATATGTGGTGCGAAGTGTCTGAACACAGCACCAATTTGGGTGGGTGCCTGCACTAGTACTCGAGAACCAAGTCTGAACACAGCTTGAAAGCATAAATTGGTTGATTTTCTTTTGTGACCAGCGTTGTGACCTGTGTTTAGAGACCTGTGTTTATGAACGGAAAAATAAAAGGGCTTATCAATCGGTGATACACTATCGGGTATCAACTGTCTGAACACAGCACCAATTTGTACGGGTACTTGCTATAGTGATATGGGGAACCAATTGTGAACTCAGCCAAAAACATAAATACATTGATCCTCTTTTCTTGGTAGGGTGTGATGAAGGTTCGGAAGCGAGTCACCTTGATGGTCTTCATTGTCAGCATCATCTTTGGGGTTTGCTGGGGGACAAACACAGTTGGCTACCTCATGGTCGATTTTTTTCCCTCGCACAAATTCCATACAATAGAAGCAAGCAACACAATAGTCTTGTTCAATTCAGCCATCAACCCGATTATATATGCCTTGGTCAACGAGCGATTTAAGGAAAAGTTCAAGGCAATGCTTTGCTGCAGTCGGCGAAGAGTAAGGGTTCATCCAGCTGGAGAATCTCATGGGATCGAAAATAATACCAACCCCACTGATGCTAAAATAGAAACAGGAAGAAACTAAGAAAAGTCACATTAATTTTTTTTCTAAGCTAATTAAGCCTTTCACTTCCCTGTCAGCAAAATCAACACTGCCGCAGAAAAGAACTGCTAAAGTAACTTTAATTTGAATGGTCACACTTTAGGGTTTCGGCCACAGAGTTGAAAGTTAGAAGTACCCTGTACAGCTAAATAAACATGCGATAGTTCTGCTCAGTAGCTTTTATTGGAATGGTTAATACCATAGGATTTCATCCACAGATTCACGGTAAAAAAGGGTGAAAAGAAATGCTAGTCGCTCATACACGTGGGGCCTACCAAGTAGTTTCCGGTTTTACTAATTACTTTGAAGCTTTTTGGACTTAATTGCGTTGTTAACATTTTGACCAAACCAACGGATATATATTTGCCAAATTACTTTTAACAACACAAAGCAATGTATCATCCTTTGTATTAGAAAGCATTTTTTCTTGTTGTTCAGGAACACGTTTCAGCTCTTATGGTTCAACGTAAACGCTGTGAATTTCGCCCGGGGGTACTCCGTTATATGGCCTATAGGGGATGTGCCACTGGACAGGGTATGTTTTTTCTTATCTCCCTTTCCTAAACAGGGTATATAATTTTGTGCGAGTCTGTCCTAATCATAAACAGGATGAAATTTTTTCGTTCTCCAAGTATACAAAAGCAATGACTAAACAGTGTATTTGCTCTATTGCAATTGCCAATAAATGGTTTAAAAACAGGACGGCGTGTATTTTGTCCTTTCTCCTAAACAGGGGTATTAAAACTGAGGGTGTTGTCCTAAACAGGTACGTATTTCAGGATTTTTTTTGTCCTAAACAGGGTCAGAGTTTCAAACCCTCAGCGGCTTACTGATACCCAAATATTGATTGAGTACTCCCCTGCCCCACCGGAGAATTTCCTAACACGGCCACACAAATAAGTCGTTAATATTTGCATCAGAATCATGAAGCTCAAGAGCGTTCAGAAAATGTTTCGGAAACTTTTATGACGGAAAAAGCAGTTTTAAGAAGTGGTGTTGAAGGTGATTTGTATAAAATTGACCAAACGCCTTGGGCAAACACTAATTAATTTATTACATAATTATCATTCCATTAATATGTGGGGACAACTTTCAATCTAACATGTATTTCAGGAAAATAATAAAATGTTTCACTCATATCACTCTTTCAATTGCGAAGTTGACCTGTTGAATCGATTTGTTCTACAGTTTTTTCAGTTATTCAAACACTCTGACCGTTATAAAGCTCGGCCCAAAGAACTGCGCTTGCTCTTCTTGTCGTATCCACGACGGCTTTTCTCCAGTCCCCTTATATCCCACCAACAGCCATGACCCACGATAGCCTGGATTCAAAGGCTCGGTAGCTCCCAGGCTCTTAAGAGCATTAGCGGCATCATCAACGAAACGTCCACCAGAATCTTTGACTGCAATCAACACCACGGTATGAATGGGTAGAGACTCAATAAAATTCGCCATGTTTCTACCCGCAGAGCTATCTCCATGAGTATCGAGATTTCTGGCCTCGATAACACTTCCTTCTTGATCGACCGCCACCACATTATGACCACGTTCCTAGATGAAGAAAAAATGTATTTTGAGCTTAATATATAGATTTACTCAAGGCTAAAAGCGAAGCTCCCGTTAATAAAATCTATTATCAACTTCAAACTCTAAACTTGAATCCACTTGAAGTTGAGCCTGCAATATCAGATGAAAAACTTTAGTTAGCAACTTGTCAGCGGATAACTTCAAAAACCACGTTACCTCAATGGATCGACACCTGACTCCACGATATGGTCATGTGATACTGGTCAGCGGATACTCTTTTTTGAAACTATCAATTGACTACAACATGGATATGCAATATCAGGTTGCAGCCTCACACACTAACTAGAATGTGTGAGATTTTACACTGGCTGCCCTGTGGTGCGGACGGTGTACGGTCGCGTGACTGCCAAAATTTCTCAGATGGATAGATAACCAAATTTTCTTAGCTATGGGGCTCCGCTAATATTGAATTAATTTACTACCTAGTTTTTTGAACATTTTTTTTTTTTTGGCTTTTTTGTATGCCTTTTAAAAGCTCTAGGATTTCTAGAGAGTAAAGCAAAAATCAAACGTCACTGATGCTTTAGCTGTTTGAATAAATCGAACGCGTGACTTACATTTGGACTAACTTCAAGACCGTCAATCGTAATAGAAGAATCTCCCCCAGGGCTTGAGGGAATGTCGTTATAGCCTTCGGACATCATACGCACGTGGATTGGCTCTGCAATGAAACGGACAAATCTAGCTGAAATTAAATGGTCGCTATCATGATAGGGTTACGTAAGTCACACTACAGCCATTTATACGAGGAAAAATAAGACGCGTCTTAAATAAGACGTAAACTGTACCATTTATACGAGCATGTCTTATCTAATAAGACTCGTCTTAGCTAAGCCGCGTCTTATTTTAGACGAAATGTGCCGTTTATACGGAAAGTTCGCGTGTTATTTAAGACGCGTCTTATGTAAGACGCGTCTTATTTTTCCTCGTGTAAATGGCCCTACTGTTTTAACCATCGTTCCCACAAGCAAATTTATACCCCCGCCTTGGTGCAGGTGCAGGGGGCAGGGGGAGAGAAATGTTGGAAGAGTCCTTTTCTTGGCTTTTTATGTTACAAAAAAATGTTACTTGAGAGTTTTTTCAGTAAATAAAATTGTCATTTCCATATGTATTTGTGGATTCAAAGTTTGTCTCGTGATATCAGACTCATGAGTGGGGACCACGGTCTTCGGGGTCTACGAGCACGAGTCTACGGTCTTGGCCTACGGCACGCTACAAAACGTGGACTACGGCCTGGACGGAACTGAATAGGGAAAATATTAGATTTAATGATTGAAGTCCCCTATAAAATGCATTTTTTTTATTGAGCCTCTCGCTTAAGCTCTCTGCCTGCTCTTGCCTCTAGCTAGACCAGCCCTTGACGTTCGGGTTGTAGTTCCCAGTCAGTGTTTCATACCTATACGGTGTAGGTTCCATTCTAATGAGAATGAACGAATTGATTTTTTTTCACAGGTATCCCATCTTATAGATAGTATGTCTGTGGTAGATTCTGCTTACCTGTGTAACCTTCACATCCGTAAACCTCCACTCGCATGCACACGTGACCGTAAAAAGAAATGGGTAGAAACCTCACGTATCTAGTTAACGGGGTCTCTTTGACAATGTTAACAACGACCATATTGCTTTCTCTGTTGCCATTAAAAACCTAAACATATAGTAAGTAAATGGGTTTTGAGATGTTATTCCCTTGTTTATATCACGGACAGACTACTGGTATGACTGATTTAAAATCAACATTGCCTTAAAGATTATTTTTATTTACGGACGAAATTTACCTCTTTTAATAATGTCTGAAATGATAAGAGGTTGTGTCAAGGCTGGCTAGCTTATTTTAGTTATAATGCCAATTAATTGCGTCGTAATTCACCATGGAACTCGATAAATTAATTGTAAATGACATGTTTTAAACACAGCTTCCTGCCAAAAAAGTTAGTCTCCCTATCACTGAATCAAACGTTACAAACTACAAAAATTGTTAGGTTAACAAGCTCTAAAAAAACCAAAATTGCAATCCGTTTCAATCTTCTTCAACTTTATCCATCCATTCCTCCATTTGTATTTGCACAGGGCTCACAAGCAGCATGAGCCTGAGACACCTGTGGTATTTGCTGCGTTATACAGACAACTCTCTCTGAGACGGACACCTTGAAGACTGACACCAAGTGTCCGCCCTAGAGAGATGTCTGTGTTATAGAAAGTCAAATAAAGAACGGATCGGAGTAAAGAAAGGCAGGCACCAACTGTAGGTGTCTGTTTTTCAGAGGTGTCCGTCTTATAGACTAAAATATAGAGGTAAAGAAAGGCAGGGCGAAAACTCTAGGTGTCCGTTTTACAGAAGTGTCCGTCTTATAGAGGTGCCCGTTAAGAGAGAGAGTCAACTGCATAATTTTATAGCTTTTTTAATTTATTTTGGTGTTTTTTTACGTTTCACTCAGTTTGCATTATTGATGCTAGTTCCAATTGTTTTAATTTGGCGTAAATTTCGTAAAACGATCAAAATTTCGTTAACGCACATTTCCATCCTACCTTAGTGATATTATTTTCTTTATATGTGTCCCAGGTTTTGTCATCTTTGCTGAAAGCAAGCTCGAATGTCTCCACCCACATCTGTTCCAACGTACTGTTACGGCCCTGAGTAGCAACGCCTGTCACAACATGGAGGTGGCCTAGGTCGATCTGTAGCCATTGACCGGTGTTGTTTAAAGGGCACCAGGCCCCCATGTGAACTCCAGGGAACGCCCTGTTGTTCAGCCTGCCCAGTCTGGCTTCATACATGCTGCTTATCTGAGAAGAAGCCGTCATCTGATCCCCTGTGATTCGACGTTTATCTGACATTCCAACACCTAACGGTGAATTGCATTCTGAAACAACAAGACATCTATTAGCCTCATGAGTTCATTTTAAACCAAGCCTCTGACCAGTAGGAACTAATCAAACAGAGTGTTTACACATGATAAGATTGTCGCCATCAGGCGATAGCCACAACGTGTGGTCAACTGTACTGAGTGGAGTTGGGGGGATTTTACCAATAAGTCGAAGACACGAATGTATTTTCGATTTACTTTGGCGGAATTGATTTTCTTAATCGTACCCGCTTATTGAGAAACGATCGCTATTAGGGGGATAGAGAAGATTTTTTTTCATCTTTATAATTTACCCTGACTGAAAAATAAAATTAACTTAAAATCTAAACAGTTTAGAAAGCAAGCGAGGTAATTGCCTAAAAAAAATAGTTTTGGAATTTCTAGGGCGTGCCTTGAGAGAAAAATATGTAGCCCAGAAAGTTATTATCCCCTTCGTAAGTCTGGGTACGCCTAAAACAAACTGACTGAATTATTCGTTGAAGGCTGATAATATGACTGACTAAATAAACAATTAACTTTTAGTGTTAAAAAATGAATAGTCAAGGAAAAACTGCCATATTTTTCTGTTTACCCCATCAAGAAAATAACTAGTCAGAGAAAACTTTCTAAGCGAAAATAAAGCGATACATAAGCTAAGTTCTTATCTACCTGGAATTGTGACCCACGTGATCACGACAGGATCATAAACAGATTTGAGATGAAGTTCTTTCATGCAAACCTTGAACCCTTCGTTGTCAATATTCTGGGAGGCAAAATCCGAAAGATTAATAAATGAAATTAATAGAAAATTATTTTTAAAATATAATAAATCGATGTGCTAATCGGGCTTTAAAGTGTTATATTGTGAAATATAAACCTAGTATTTCACAATTATTGCTCGAGTCCGAATGGGCTCTGAGCAAGAGAGGATAAAGGGGACAGAGAAGGCATCCCCCATACATGCCTTCTCTGTCCCCTTAATCCTCTCTTGGCTCTGAGTTAATAGCCCATTCGGCCTTCGGCAGTCATGGGCTATTGACTCAGAGGCCATGAGTCAACTAGTTGGTCAAAAATATCGAGACAAAACAACTTTAGCTAACTAAAGCTACACTTTAATCATTTTTTGAGCACCAAACTGCCAGGGCTTTTCGTTAATAGTGGGCTATAGTATATAGCCTAGTAGTAGCTCAACCAATCAGAATGCAGCATTGATAATAGACCACTAGTTGGATTTTACTAATTGATGTTATTGGATTGATATTGTTAATATATAATCGGCTCCTGTATTGGAACGAAAATGGATTTGTAAAAATTTGCTCATCGCATTAAATATGTCGCAAAAATGTAAAAACTGGAGAGTAAATTTGGGGCAAAGATAGAATATATAGATTTAGCCAGGGCTAAAAGCGAAGCTCCCATTAATATTATAATTTAAATCAAACAATAAACTTGTAATCCACAAATCAGTTAACTTTAAGGGAAAGCTAAGGCTAAGTGATTTTAGAGTAAAAAAGAAATCTTACACCGAATTGATAGCCGTATATATACACCCAAAAAATAGCGATTATCTTCGATCACATTTTAGAGCCATAATGGCTCTTGATCACAGTAGATTAGGTCTGGAAAACGAATTTTTGGAAAACAAATCAGGCCGAATTTTTTGCGTTCGACAAGTTTACTTAACAAAATCTTGCCAATAACTCTGGGAGCGTGTAAACCAACATTTCATACTTTTTATACATCACATCTGAAACAGTAATATGAGGCGTTGATTTTATCATATAGACCTCAGACAAAATGCAGTATTTCACAATTTTTCAAGACAAATTGCACTCATTCAATATTCAGAACCGTACGAAGCACGCGTGGGCTTTTAGCAAAACCGTTCAAAAAATTTCCAAAATCACCTATACGGCCAGCCGGTTCTCACTTTTGACAAGCGCCAAATTTTCAGTGAACATTAAAAGAGTTACGCTTCAACATAATAAAGAATTTATTGTGTTTATTTTTTTTATTAAATGGTTTTATAACGATGTGTAATCTTAAAAAGCGTTTGATACGAGCAGCATTTTGAGTACTCCTGCAAGCGTTGTTTATGAACGACTGAAAACAAACGGCAAAGCGATTAAAATTGTAAGAGACTACTAACAATCAATAAAAGAAATGTAATTCGGTGAAACATTTACAGAGACAACAATTTTCATTCACGAAGACAAGTATTAAAGCGTCTCTAAAAATCCTGAGTCTTTAAGCTTAAGCTTAAAGCTTTTAGCCGGCTTCCTGGTGTTTACTGTTTTCAAAGATGAACTCGAGGCAAGAAAATCGCTCAAAGCTTTCTTTCTACAGCCAAAATTATAACTAAATACTCTTCGGAACGTTTTTTCGTTCTATATGCGGAGAGAAAATATCGACTAAAGGCTTTTTAAAGTTCTGTAAGCTTATATACACTAGATCAGATCATTGTCTCAGATCTTAATACAACCGTGCATAAATTAGCCTCATAAACTGCGCTCGACTTCATGAAATTAGACATAAAAAAAAAAAACAAACATACACTGTATACAATAATTACTTAGGCTTACCATTCGAGATGCAGCTCTTGAAAGCTATAAAGTAAGACCAGAATCGCTTGAGGGACTTTTCAACCCGCATCCAGCAAGGTAACAACCAAAGCGATGCATCCGAAATCGGATTTCCAACTTTGGCAACCGGCGCATTTCCCGACCAAAAATTCAATAAACAAACCAGCCATGAATCAAAGAAGACTGTTGATAACAGCTGTATTTCATTTTAAGCATCCAGTGGAAAAAGACAGTAAAAAACATCACAAGTTGACAAAATACTCTGTCAGCTTCAGCTGTCAAACTGAAAGTAAACAAGGTTCAAGATGCTGTATAAATCAGTTTCTGCATGAACTCACCTGTCAAATTTTGACCAATCAGAGCATAAAAATTGAACGGTCGTAGAGCGTGATCAACGCGTGATTATGGTGAGAAAAGTGAAAAGCCTCTGTCTTCCCTGCTTGTATTTTTAAATGACTGACTGAATTTTCGAGTCCGAGATCAGTTTGAAATCAAAATGTTAATAGCGCGGGGCCATAGTGACATTAACACAACACTTTCTGTCATCATGTCATATTTTGCTGCAGTTCTCTTTGCCTTTGTATTTCTCTTTCGCGTTGCCTTTGTCTGTTCATTCTAGCTCTGTCTCGTTCTGCCTGCCGGCGTTTTTCACTATAATTTTCTCTCCTTCTTCTCGTTCTGACTCTGTCTACTTGCTTTCTTTTTTTCAAAACCAGTTGCGCGATATAATTGCGCGACGTTGCGCCATGCGATTTCCCGCCAAAAAATCTCTCCTTTCCCCTACCCCAAGAGTCCATGCGGACTACTTTCCACTACCCGGAAAGTCGGTACGGACGGACGTACGCTACGTCATAACCAAATTTTCTGGGATGAATAGTTTACCAGATTTTCTTACCCATGGTGCTCCGCTGCGCGCGCGCGGGAGCTCCGCTATAATGCCCATTTGCCTTGTTATTTACAATCCCGTGTTAGCTTGTATGCAAATGTGGCATTTACCATCTTTACCCCAGTATTAAAATATTTCTCACTTTTAACCTCTTTGCGACATATTTGCCACGAGAAAATTTGTAAACATTCGAATAATAATAATAGTAAAAAAAAATGAAATTGTTAATAATAATAACAATAATAATAATGATAATGATAATAATAATAATAATAATTCAGTCGAACCCCGCTTTACGGACACTCACTTAATACGGACACCTCATTATTACGTACGATTTGCTTTATCCCTGGGGAAAAAAAAACCCTTACATTTTCTCTAAATCAACCCGCTTAACACGGACACCCGTCAATACGGCCCATTCAGTGTCTGTATTAACCAGGTTTGACTGTATAAACTTTATAATACAGCTTTGTAATGCACCTTTCCATTGTTTTGAACACGTCAGGTTATTATTTTCAACAAATAGAAGCTAAGATCAGGTCACTGAGATGCAACAGAGGTCATTATTAGGAATAATAACCTGTACTGTTCCACTTCATTGGTCGCGATGACGACCTGCTGGTTCTAATTATAAAACAATAGAAGATGCATTAAATTGAATAATGCCCTCGCTCGATCCTCAGCTTTCTTAAAAATTATAACCTCGCGCTGCGCGCTCGGTCATTATTGGAACTCAGGCTTTTTCCTATATCGCGTGTTATTGCATGACTGATTATTCAACGTAGTGCCAAGGCTCTCTCTCCTAAAAAAAAATAATCATGCGTGATCAATATACTAATATTCCTTATGCATGTTGACGTAACATGAGCAAATTTCGTCAAGCCTCGTTTTGAAATTAAAAATCAGCAAAGTTTTACCATGCAAATTTATTCCCAAGAATAAACCACGCCAGACAGTGCAATTGCAAAGAATTAAATGCACCATTTTCAAAAGAGATCGACTTGGTGAGGAAATTTGCTCTTCGGAGGTAATCATGCGTAAGGGCCATTGATCTTCATACTTCTATCCATGACGTAATACTGTTGAAATCGGGAAGCAATCCAGAGGATGAGTTATGTGTAGCACTGATCATTACTGCTGGTTTCTTCATGTAATTCACCTTGAATGTAACCCCCTGTGTGACAGAATATTGACTTTTTCAAACACTAATGTAATATAAAATGAAGTGTTTCAAAATACACTTCTTTGATCTTGAAGCCTTTACAAATTAAACGTCAAATATACCTCATCTCTCCCTTGACCTCATTAGATGGTTTAGAACTGAAAAATATCATGTTATTAAACATTTTGCGACTTTCGGTAGCAATTACTAAATATTTCGCCATGGAACTTGTGACGTCAAGAGAATGAGCTAGGTCATTCTATTGGTGACATCATATCTCGTAACTATAGTAACCATCAACATCAGGAAAATAGCAGCTTCTCGTTTGGAGTTGATAACAATAAGTCCCCACAGACTTCCCCTCTCTTTTTTTTCGCTTTACATTAAAATAAGTTAACAGTTAAGCAATTCATTATTCTATTGATCAATCACAAATAGATACAAACGCCTTATTGTATTCTCTGTCGTACCTTACAAAACGCGTGGTTATCGGAGTTCTTGGGGGATTTTCCATTCGCAAAATAAATGTTATCAAATTCGGCGAACGTCTGTCGGGGAAGATATTCGTAAGCCATCCAACTCTACAATTCAAAAACAGACGAGAAAACAAATCACTCGCGCTTTCTACTACTAATCATCATGAAATTCAAAGGAGTTGTTCTTACCACACTGATATTTCTATGAAATCCGTCAAAATTCTGCAGTTCCCGGATGCATATCTGAAACGAAGTTCTAGTGATGTCCTCCGTCCAAAGAGTTGCCGCGTCTTTTTTACGCTTAAGGGCGACATGCTTGGCTGTAAGCAGCACTGACGGAATCGCTGAAAAACGGCCCTGGAATAAAACAGGCGTAATGAAATGTCGATATATATTTACTAGGATACGTTTCGTCTAGAACGTAGTCTCTTGTTCCTTCGTGCAAATCCATTTCGAATGAAAACCTGAGCAGTGATTGCCTAATAGTTTGTTTGTCTGGGTCATTAAATTTGATAACTGTTGCGGGTTGATTAACAATTATTTACCCAGGGCAGTGAAATCGAGTTGTCTAAAAAACTGACTCCCTATGAGTTTCGAAAATTACGAAAAAATCACCCTATTTTCACGTCTCCAATAATACACCTAGTTTGACCCCCAAATTTTGCATAAGCATTGTCTTTTATTTTTCTTGGGACGACTGTAATACCCAGGAGAAATAAAAAATGCAAAGTTTTGGGGATCAAACAAGGTGTATTATGGGAGAAGTGTAAATAGCGAATAAAGCGTTTTCACATGACGTCACGTCCGACATAATTGTGTTCCAAGACAATAGAACAGCGACCATTTCGGTTTTTCAAACCAGTTCTGTGGCAGTTAAACTTTTCTCTAGTGTATTTCAAGAAAGTTATACCTAGTTTCCATAACTGCTAGCCACGTGAGTGAAAACGCTCTAGGCAGCTCTCAGTTCTGACGCTTGTTCACTTCACATGAATTTTTTGACAAGATCACTACAGAAAGGTATGTTACAAACACTCTAAACCAGGCTTTTTCTTTCGCTTTTCTTGATGTCTTTTTGCTTCTCTTTCAATTATTTCTTTCTCTCTTATTTTTGTTTGCGCCTGCCTATTGATTAGTGTATTAACCGGGTTCCACAATAACCACTTTATTAACCATTTAAGCCCCAATATCAACATACCAATTCTCCAAACTGATCTCTATACATTTCTTTAAAGAAGTAGTTGAGAGAATTTGAAAGCATTTTCTCCTTAACGGTTATTTCATTAATTCTCATAACCTTATCTCGTAACAAAGTATGGATATTGTTGGGAGAAAATTGATGTTGGTCACTATTGGGGCTTAAAGGGTTAAAATCATACTAAACGTCTCACCGGGGGGAGCATGACAAGTTTGCACGTTGTTCCTTCCCACCAGTCATCTATTGGTTCTGTACCCACCATGCCTCCGCGGGGTGCACCTTGGAATGCGACCCAGTCCACACTGGCTAAGCCATAATCAGAAGGGACGGGTCCATCGTGTTCAAGGCGTCCTGATTTCATTGCGCACGCTGTCAAACTTTCCTTCACCGACGTCCTCTACCCAAGTGTTCACAGCCTTAAAACCAGGAGAGAGCAAGTTGAGAGAATAAAATAATCGGTGGGGTTGCATTTGTTCGAAAATTAGTTACTGCACAGAAATTCCTAGAGAAAGAGGAGTGCCACATATCGAGAAAATCTGAAAACCACACAAATCTCAAGCTCAAGGGCTCATTTCCCGAACAGCGACTGGTAATTGAGCCTACAAGGTGTTTTAATTTCTTGACAGAATTTTCACTGTAATATCGTTATGTATTTCATTCGTACATCGTGGACCAAGCCATTGGTTTGTCCTCCGTGGTTTATAGACAAAAAAACGTGAACAGGTTGAAGAGAGTAAAAGTCACTGGAGTTGTAAGATATGTCACTGCATTTCAACTCGTCGGAGGACATATCCAAGGCAGCAAATCCACGCTGGGATACAAAAGCTGAAAGAAAAACAAATTGCATCGTTATTTTCATGCAATTTGGAGAACTTTAGGGCTAACTTACCAGCTTACTAACTGACTAGCTAACGTCCGGATGACATGAAACACGATCGTCGATACTGCCAGAGTGGCAGGCGCAAAAAGGGGAGGGGAACGGGCGAAAAGCGCCAAAGGGAGGGAAAAGGGAAGGGAGTCTCTCACCCTCTCTCCACAATCCCCCCCCCCTTTTTTTTCCCTTCCTCCCAATCCCCTAACCCGGCCCTTTCGACGCCTGCTACGCGGGCTAGATCATCGATAGCCTTTTTTTTTTTTCTTTTCAGGCCCTTAGATGGTAGTGTGTAGGCGAGCAGTCGCGGAGGCTCTCTCTCTCATCTTTTACTGCCACCGCTCCTTTCTCCAGATCGGGCATGTCTTATATTTGCTCGGCTTGTTTTATTTTCTCGACGTCCTTAATACCTGAATTAAAGCCTGGCACAGGCTAGATCGAGGACTGCACCGTGCCGAATCAAAGGCAAATGCTAAGTGCCACTTTTCCACCAAATTCTACTAAAAGGCGGGCTTCGTCTGCGTTTCTAAGTTAAATGGGAATATTTCTCTTTGATGTGATGTCTTGGATTGTAAGAACACGAACAGCGACTGATAGTGTCCCAGACTGCCGCAGACCGTTATAGAGCAATGAACTAGGCCTATTATCTGCCTCTTAATTGAATAACCCTCTCACTATCTCTCTCTAAACATCTCTGAATGGGAAATTACTTGATACATTAATTTATTAATCACCTTCACTCAGTAGAGCGCAAGTTTTCATTTCTGACCAATCAGCAACAACGTCTGGTATAAGGCGCATAAAAACTGGACTTACACTGTATTCACGTTAGTCTGTCACGCGTTCTCATTAAAAGACGTCAGGCGTGCACATTTACTGCATTCTATTTAGTGCCCCTCGAGTTGAATAATAAATCTATTATTAGACGGTTTAGTGTGCAGTATCATGGGATATTTTTTACTCGTGTCACGTGTTTTGACTCCCCCTACGGGCTCGTCAAAATACAGCGCGACTTGTTAAAATATCCCACGATACTACACACTAAACCGTCCAATGAGATATATATATACTTACGTTTACAGCTCCCCGGATGAGCAAGGCTGACGTGCTTTTTATTCATACAGATAGCCCTCTTGTACTCGCACTCGTTGTTGTACGTGATACCTTGAGCTGAGCATATGAAATCTTCGAACGAAGGGCAAGTGAAGTTACAAATGCATTCGTACTCAATGGCATTCTTTGCATTACACGAAGCGTAGAAAGGACAAGTAATCTTAGCACAAGGATGAAGCTCTGCCAGGAAAGCAAAATAAGATTTGAATGAATCACAGACTTACCGGACTAAGTTTTGTAACTTAGCTTGGCAAAAACAAATCACACCTATCACTCCTTTTTATTTCAGAACTGTCGTTTCGCCTCAGTTAGGGGAATCCAAGACAGTCTTGGATTCGGGATTCCAGGCGATGGATTTCGGATTTAATTCAGGTACTGGATCTCAGATTCTTTATCAGTGCAACTTGTATTCCTGTATTCCTTGAGTTGTATTCCGGATTCCAAATCCTAGAATTCCGGATTCATTTGTCAAGTCAAATACAATAAAATATCTCCAGAATTCCGTCTCAATGACAAGATTATGGTCAATGATTTATAACCAATCTACTCCATCGTTATGATTTGCTCTATTAAATCTTTAAATAATCTGCTGTAAATTGAAATATAAGAGTGCGAAATGTCTGTATTTTGGTCTGGGAACTGCATCTAAAGTTACTCACGTCCTAGTGCAATGAACTGAATGGTCACAGGAGCATGTGTATCTTCCAAGGCCTGGATGTCTTTCACACAAATAGAGAACCCGTTTACGCTCACACCCTAAAATAGCAATGGGTGTAAATAGCAACGAGTGTTAAGTGGGGCGAAAGACCCATTGTGTGGCAACCAAATAGCATAGCCGAGACACCATTATTTGCAGATGGGTAGTCAAGCTGATGAGGTGTATTCAGAACTAACCAGCCATGAGTCTAGGCACCAGCTGAACGTTGGACCTAACATCTAACGTTTGAAAATTTTCTGAGGGGAGTTTGACCACGAGGGCTATATTCACACTACTCCAGATAGCTGCTGCGCATGACAGGCAAAAATGACGAAACAACTGGATAGGGATTCTTTTCACACATAAGAACGGTGATTTCGGAGCGATTTCTCGACGGACCGAAGCTGCGCCCCGCCGATGCTCTCGAAAATGGAACGTCACATACAGTAAACACCCCCATATAAGAACAAATGGATTAAGAACATCCTGCTAAAATTTTGCCCATAAAGCAGCTCATATATAAGAACCAGTTAAGCTAGTCTCCTTCGCAGCCGTTATTAGGGTCGTCACTCGTCACGCAACGCGGAGGAGCGTTGCGTGACAAGTGACGACCCTAATAACGGCTGCGAAGGAGACTACAGTTCAGCCTGATAGGTAAAAAAAAAGGTTCTTATATAATAAGGGAGAGGGTGTTGGAGTAAGACAAAATAAAGCAATTAATGTAGCTATGGTTGCTGCTAAACAATTAAAAAACTATAACAGTTGCCTGGGTGTTGAAATTAATGTTACATTTCTACCTTTTAAAGTTAACTACTTTACTATTTGACAGACTTCTATTTAATTTATTGATTTACTGATTTGTTTATTTACTCACTTATTTATTTATAATAAAATGTGCTATCTAAACCTCTTGGTAACATGTTATGTGTAGTATTTCTGAAACAAAGTTTAAGAACATATTAAGAACATCTTCAGGCTGATTTCTCACTAAGCACCCGATAAATAAGAACTAGATTAGCCTAAACCCCGAAATCGCATGTGTTCTAACATGTGGGTGTTTACCGTATCAGATAGGATCTGTGCCACATTTTAGTGCAATATGAACAGGTATTCGGACCGAAGCAGAAGTGAATTGTAGGAGCGAGGAGCCCTGGAACCCACTGACAAGGAAGTAAATGTTGAGGAGTGAGGAATGGCATTTAGTGCACCAAACGCTTTCGGCCACCCGCTCCGGCTCGATGTTTGATGTATGTGAACGACTTGTTCTAGTTACAGGCTGTTGCTGTCCATGCTACGCCAAATGGTTTTTCATGTTGTTACGAGCGGCTATCATGTAGTGTGTGACATAGCTATTGTAGCCTAGAACTTCAGAAGTCGTGAAATGATTAGAACACGAGCGTTTCGACCATTGGCGTTAGGGGCTGAAGATCTGGCTCCTGTTGTTCAAACTTTGGCTAGCGCTATACACCGGATTAATCACTATCCAGCGGATAGCGCTTAGAACTTAAAAGTATAAGCGCTATATAAATATTTTATTATTATTATTTATTATCGAAAAATCAAGTAGGCTGTCCGCTGGATAGTGATTTTATCCCGTGGACGTTTTAACAACCGAGGCCTGGTCTGAGGTGTGAGGTTGAAGCGAAATTATAGCATAAAAATTTCAACTCTATTTGATACAGCTCTTTCTTGCGCGTTGTACCTACTTACCTCGATCCATTCCGTAATGGTATTCTCAGATGGTGGAATGGACAGTAAATCTAGCGGATTATATTGATGTGATGCTGTGGTGATAACACAAGGAGGTTTAAAGAAAGGATCATCAAAGGAGACGTTCTATACAAGAAAGTGTAAGTTAGTTGGATATAAACATAAGTAGGTTATTCTTTCGCTATTTCGAACTAAAAAGATTTCATTTCCAAAATAGCTAATGTATGCTAAACAACATCATTATCAGTTTCGTCGTCATCATCATTATAATCATCATTATGGTCGTCATCATCATCATCATCATCATCATCATCATTATCATCGTTATTATTATCATTATCGTCATCGTCATCATTATTATCGTCCTCATCATCATTATCATTATCATCATCATCGTTATCATTTTATGATTTTCATCAGACCTGGCAGAATCCGTAGTTAAACTTTGCAGGAGGTGAGCCCGTGTTTGGCATGTACAAAGCTTTGCTTTCTGGCGCCTCGTTGGTCCAAGTAGACGGAAGAGTTTTCATTGCAATCCAGTCCTTTAGAGAAAAAATTAAATGAAATTTTCAAATGGCCAGGAAATTCAACACATTCTTTCACTGCTTTAAAATTATCTAATGAATCGTAATTTTAAAGCAAAGTACGTAGTTGAGAATGCATTAATCTGCAGACGCGAAAAAAGAAACTGGTTTGCATGTAAGGGCTATGTAGAAGAACCTTCAATGAGCCACCATGACCCAAAATGCGAACGGTTAGAGTTCTCTCACTACAAATCGTCTCGTACGAGAGGGATTTATTTTGAGGAGAGTACAAACACAGCTAATGTTTCGAGGAGAATTAGTTGCATAAAATCATCTATGTAAAGTTTTGTGTTGTTCCATGATCTCACTTGGAGTTCTTCTTAGTCTCGGAGTACACTAGTACATAAAGCGCCGAACAAAAAGATCAGACCATCAAGCTTCTCATA